ATTGTAATTTGTATGCAAAAATGGTGGAGGCGCCGGGAGATTTTAAGAAATATTTCATACAATATATGGAAAGTAAATAATTTCCTTAAATATCTCGATTATGAGCAAAATGACATAGCGTACCCTTCTTTAAACTAGATTAATGCATACAACCAATCCAAAGACATGAAAATTTGAATTTGGAATAATAGCAAACGTTTTACGCTGATTAAACCTTGCATTGTTTAATCATTATAAAATTTGACATTAAAATCATTCAATAACGTAGGCAATTACTCATGCGTTCGCATTTTTAGCGAGATTTAGATCCTCAGTTCGAGGTAGGGGTTTTCGGAATGCAGTTTCTTGTGTTTCATTGCTAGTTCAAAAATGTGTTAAATTATGGTGTGTAGAATATTGTATGAATCGTATTCGACGCCACAGTCCACCTCAACGAGTGTCATTAGGGCAATATTAGTTTATTAATGATTTTCTATTTCACAATGTGTAAGACTTTGACCATTTCATAGACACATGCAATTTTTTGTTCTTATTGGTTGTGAATTCACATTTCTTATATGCACCATCCCCATTAACCTGTTCGCCTTTTTATTAAATTTCTATGGAAGAAAAAACTATTCCTGCTTTTCGAGTACAATTCGGCCGAAACACCTGTCGCAGTGGAAAAAATTGTGTTCGAAGGGATATTTTATTCTTTTATAAAAATTGTGAATTCACAATTCACATTCACATATAATAAAAAAAACACGCAGTAGAAATTGATTTAGTCAGACCAACCTTATTTTTACTTACTAATTTTGGCAAATGACACCTGAAAAAAACAAGGGCGGGTGGGCGGGGCTAGTATTTACCAAGATAAAACTGAACAATATTAAGAGTAGTTACTAGAATGAAGTAGGTGGGCGGGGCTACTGCTTGGTCATAAGACTGTTTATGTATTTTTTATAGCCTAGGTTTTAGTATTTCCCATTCTCACTTTGCAGAAGAATATATAATTAATCCCGCAGGTATATTAATAGTGTCCATCGGACGAATGCTTACTTTCATGTTTTCTTGGTGTTTAATGACCCTTACAGTACGAAAAAAGTAATCTCCCGTTTCCGTCTGTGTGTCGGTTTAGTATCTGTATCCATTTTTATAAGACACGTAAGCTCCGAAACTGCTAGAGCGATTGTTGTCAAATTTTGTATGTATATTAGAAATATGATGTAGATGGTTAAATCCTAATCAACAATTTTGCTAATCATCCCCACGAACAATTTGATGACGTAATTTCAATGAATTGTATTTTAAAATGATTTGAATCTTATACAAAAATATACTCCTATACCTGTAATGTCCGAATTCGCATTCAGTTTTTGTGCTAAACGTTCAAATTTTCGTAAAAAGAATTACACGGTATAATAACGTTATATTCCCACCACGGAATATAAGTTTTCGTGGCGTAGTGGCTTTATCGAGGGACATGCGGTCGTGGGTTCGATGCCGAACTTTGCCCTTTACTTTTTTCGAAAATGTGAAGAATACGGACCTCTTTATACAATAATGATAAAATAAGAATTACAATATTCAGAAGTTTTTGTCTTTTTGTGGTTTAATTAATAATTTTAGTCATCTGTTTTGAGAAGACAAACTCATTCAAACTAAACAAATTTCGACGTGACATTCTTTCGATGTATAAACATAAACAATCGAAGTTAAGCATGTACACAGATAATAATACACGCCTTTCCGTTCGTTATTGGCTTTGAATGTGTTTCATATTGTTCGTATATCTGCGGACGGCGCCTCTTTGGAATTTGCGCCCCCGTGGCCCAGGGGGTTCGGAGTGTCATTTACACCACTGGTTTTTACTATATAAAGTTTATCAGAAAACAAAATTTTTTTATAATTTTTTAAAGAAGTGGAATTTGTTGGACTATACTTCAAGGGCGAGGGAAGTTTTGTCGAAGTAACCTTGGACCAATTTTTTTATAACAATAATATCTAAAATTTCTGGATGTTTTTACCTCAGTTATTACATTATCCACACTTCATATCTTCTCACCCGAGAATTTAAACTAATCTTAAACGTTGATTCATTTGAGAGAAGGACCTTGGAAATTATCATCCGTTAAATTAATATCTTTATGGACTCGAAATGGCGGATATATTTTATGTTTGTTTTGTATTATTTTCTAACATCTGAATTATTGTCTCACAGCTGCAATTTGAACATTTACTCCAGAATAATTTTCTTGATTTTGACAGGATTTAATGCGCCTTGTTGTGTTTATTGCATATGTGCTTTGTTTTATGGGAGCTGGAAATTCTCTGCATTCATGATGTAACTTAACTGTTAACTTGAATTAGGGCATAAATTAAACACATGTAATTTCTTGTAATTTAAAATTGATAGTGTGGCTAAGTTAATTTTGCTTGTTTCCTTTCTTGTAATCATAATACACACTGACAGGACCTTGCCCTTTTCAAGTGAATGTTTATCTGCAGTACCGGATTTTCAAGTTCTAGTGAATCAGTTTGTCTAGTTGGATACGTGCTTCGCTGAGATGGAAGTAAGCCTCAGGAACACAAGTGTTTAAAACCTGTGGCTGTGATTGGGACAAATAAACTTTCACAAGGAGACGCCCTTCGCGCCGATGCCGCTACGCGTCTTCACAAGGTGTAGTCTATTTTTCACTCAACTTTGTTTTTTTGCACGACTGCCATAATTAGCCGCTACACCACCGTAATAACTTGAGTATTACAATTCAGTTATTTGAATGATGAATTTTTTCAATTTCTTGCTTGTTTAAATTCGTGTTATTCAAATATTTATTTTGATTTGTTATATTTGTTAGATTTCGCGTGTTTTTAAAATTTTGTTCACATGTCTAATTTAACGGGATGTTGTGGTTACCAAAAGGGATCTGGCAAACATAAACATTGATTCGTAATCTAGAGAAAATTTCCCTTGAGTCAAACTCACCATTTACGGAGCGATTTGGTAAACTTTGATTTTTACGTAAAAATGGTGGAGGCGCCGGGATAATAATTAAATTTAAAAATATTTAACCAAAAGTGTTTCAGAAGAAATATAAGAAAAAGTAAACCACTTCTTTAAATGTCTCCATATTTTTGTGAAAATTACCAGAACAGACCCAACTTTAAATCGAGATAAAATTCCCTTTTTAGGGCCGATTTGACCAACTTGAATTTCTTGCTTAAAGAAACTGTAGCATCCTGTAATTTTTGTTTTCGTTTTCATCTCAAATGAAACAATTTTTACAACTGAAATCACCGTTGCAGGTGCAAACCTTTGATGATTTAAATAATTAACAACTAATCTAAAACTGACGTTTGAAAAAAGTCGATTTTGCTGACTTTTATCAGACCACTAAACTTCGGTTTCAAGTATAAAAAAAAACGGAATGTATTTCGTATCAGACTTTGAAACTTCGAAGCGTCTAGTTGTGGTAGATTTATGTATTTCTATCTAAAAAAAAAATTATTGGCGAAAAACTTACAAGAAGAAGCCGACATTACAGAAACTGTTAAAATTGTTACAGATGTTGTTTTAAGAATGAAAGGGCAATAACATGTGTCTACATGCAACTAAAATAGTAATATATGGAACATATTAATATTATATAAATTATATAATATTTGGACAAAGAGGATTATTTTGACAAGGTCAAAGTTTTTATCGGAAATGGTCCTTATCAGTCAATAGTTAAAAACTCAAATCCAAAAATGATCAAAGAATTAAACAACATGTTCAAAATAGATAACAACCTTATTATCTCTGGATTAAAATTTAAATTATATGTTTCTAATCCCGTTGCTCCCAAATTGTATTGTTTACTGAAAATTCATACCCGGTAAAACGATGCGTCCAATTGTTTCTGGAATTAACTTATCTAGTTACAAGCTTTCAAAGTGGTTAAACAACGAATTTAATAACTTGCCAGTCAAACAACCAAGTTTTGCTATTATAAATTCATTGGTTTTCATAAATCGCATTAAAGATATTGTTTTGAAAGGTACTTGAGGTATTAGTTTCGTTCGATATCAGTTCTCTTTTTCTAAGTGTTCCGTCATCGTAAACGTTACTCTGCTTAGAAGAATTGCTGGTCTAAAACGGCTTGTAACAACAAATCATTAAAGAATATATTAAATAACCAACGTCTGTATGAGAGAGAACATTTTTCAGTTTGGCGGGTAAGAAGACGTTTTTGGGAATTACGAAAGTTTTAAAATCAACATATTTTTGTGGATGACCCTAGAATTATAAATTGTTTAAAATTAGTTAATTTTGTCAATAATTGTAAATTTCTAGACAGGTTGTAGCATGTAATGAGTTCAGATCGCCTGCCCATCCCAAACTCGTCCCTTTACGCCCTTGTGGAGTCAGGGAGGGGCGAGAGTGAGAAGAGTATTGTAGATAGGATATAAGCTAGTGTAGTTGCTTTTTCCACTTTAGGTTAGTATTGTCTAGATAATGCCAACATGGTTGGCGAAACGCGTCGACAATATTTATATAGTGCATTTTACATTATATAAGTGGTAATATATTTTATCTAGTATACAACAAATTATTGTTTTTCTAAATAACATGCGAATCAACATCTCTAATGTCTAAAGCACATCAAAAGATCGAATTATCGGCAAAATCGAATATAAAAAAATTGTCACACTCGTAACACTGCAATGTTTCTTCTTTTCTTTCTTTATTTGCCATCACGAGCCGCAGGATAACAAGCTAAATGCGTTTTTATTTTTCGTTTTTCCAGATACACGATAACCGGTGCCACTCGCCCTCGCAGCTGCTTTAGATTAAAACTTTGGACCCGCATTAAATCTCCATCCAAAGAACTTAACGTAATGAGATTATATTAATGCATCAGCTACTCGGATGAATAAAGGTCCCACGGAAACCATTCGCGAGGAATTTTAGAATCGCTTGAATCGTACGAATTTTTAGAGGGAATGACAAATGTGCGCATTTAAAGGTGTCCTACCTTCCTGCCAGTCGATGGCGTAATTGAAATAGGCCCTAATGGAACAAGCGTCGACCACTGCAATGAGGAGCAGATGGATCCCGATGCATAAATCAGCCACTGCCAAATTGCACATGAGAAATTTGGAAACTGTCAGGCGAAAATGCGACGTGGAGATGACAATCACCACGAATAGATTTCCAATGACCGCTGATAAAGATATGAACCACACGGGAATCCTTAAGGCCCAGTTTCCCATTAGGTCTTCGCAGGGATTGAACGCGTCGGGCTCCGGATGGCATTTGACCTGAAAATGGAACGGGAATGAGGAAATTAGCAAATTAGAGATTTCAGTCAGGATGTGAATTACTGGAGTACTAGGTGTGGAAATAATTTGTCTGAAAGTGTAAAAGTAAATACAAGCATGCATGATAAGTCTAAATTGAGATAAGCTTAGGTTATTTTTTGTGGAATGGGGACTCATTTGCCTAAGTAGGCAGCAAATCGTGCAGTAACCCCAAGCGTTAAATTTTTATAATGCAAATAATAACAACAATTTTTAATTTTTTAACAATACAACAATGCAAGAACACTTTAAGTAGTAAATCTAGATATACAAGCAATTTAAAAATTCAAAAATCACGTAAATTTTAGTCCAAGAACTTTGGTACCTTACACTGAGCAGCAAGAAATTTGACAAAGATTTTATTTTTCTAAAAAGGAAACATTTTTAAATTAAATTGTCGATTGTTCAAAAATATCAATTGTATTCATAATTAACATAATAACCAAAATTCACCTTTATCGTTAAGAATTATTTACAATTTTTGTTCATTATTTTACATGTGTCAGTATAACTGCTTTTCATCAGCATTACGAGCAAGAAAAATGCAAACAGATCAAGAGAATCACGTTTAAATTACACCGACCTATAAAAGCAAACTTTTTTTAATCACGAGAAACGAAAATCTAGACTGTTAATCTAGTTTTTTATGTTGTTTACGAATCTGTTTTTAGATTTTTTTAGCATTCGTAGCTGTTTCAAAATATTTAGGAAAAACTGCGCATTTAGCGAATTTAAAAAGTTTTTATATTAGCAGTTTTAGCAAGGGTCGTTAATAAATTATGAGTTAATTTTAAAATTTATTGCCTTAACTACAAATATACTATTTCGGAGCACCACAAAATGACATCTAGTAGAAATGGGTCACGATTGAATAACTCAGATTTTTTTTGTTATTGTAAGATTAATAACAACACGTAGAAAATCTGTGTTCTATATGCAATACTTTTATGGAGGTTCAATCGGTGCTATTCCAACGTAACAACAGCCTTAAGTGTTGCTTTCTGTTCGGCACAATCTTGTCCTTTGAAATTTTGTCCCGAATTTCTGTGAAACATGAAATTTTCCTAGACAAAGTTTATTTCCTTGTATGTTGATACAAAATATTGATATTGCGATTCGGTAAACTACGTTATTTCCAGCTCCGTCTCTAGCGTCAGATTTCATTTTGTCACATCGTACAAATCAACGTTCCAACAAAAAATAAAATGTGAGAGAAATAAAACGAAATGTGCTTTAAGTACTGTCTTTTCCGCAAGATCTATCAAGTTTCACCCGACAGTGTGCCCTCAACTACACATAGAACTTCATTTTAGCGTTTTAAACAATTCCGGGAGCAAATTTCATGTCTCGTACTAGTCTAGGAAACACAAAAGCACAAAGTGCTGGTGGCACTTAGCTTTGATGTGCTCAGCTTTCATGCGTTTTTTATTACATTGCACTAATTTTAACATCTCCATGTTTCCCCAACTCCAGCACCATATTTCCCCCGTTTACACACACTAAAGGGTTGAACATTCGTTTAGTAAAATAATAATTCAGCTGCAAATTTCTGCCAGTTTTTTACCAATTTTTTTCTCCTTTGTCTAGACTAATTATCTTAATTAATTTACATGCTTTACATAAATCATAAAAACTATCTTTCCTGTTCTTGCGAACAGGTCTGTACCTCGTGGTAATTCCGGTATATCTCTCCGCACACCGCCGTCGTCACAGGAAACCCGTTATTCAGATTCATGGTGCTGTTATGGAACACCTCGTCCCCGTTCCACTGCTCCTCGGAGTCGCTCTCTCCCAGGCTGGTATTCAGGGGCATCCAGCGCAAAAGGGCCCTCAAGGACGGATCATTATTCTCCTGAAGGACGTTACTGACTGTCGTGTTTTTGGCCGCTCCGCAAGCCTGTTTCATTTGTTTCACGAAGCGGTTGTGCCGTTCATATTCCCACGGATTGTGGGTGTGGGGGAACTTGAAGGCGCAGCAGTGGTAGGGGTAGGTCAGCCAGGCTTCCTTTATGTACTGAAAAATGAGGAAGATTGATGGGGGCAAATTTGGTTGGGTTTTGGGGGTGTATTAGGCATGAAAATGTCATTTTTGAGCGATTGTTAGCGGTTACTGTTAGTGTTAACTTGTCGTAATCACATGTGAAGAGAAATTATATGTGACGCTACTGACTTGTTATTTACCTTAAAGTTGTACACTGAAGGGAACACTTTAAGGGATTCCGTGTCTTGGACCTTGAGAACGTCGATCTCGCGGAGCCCTTCCAAAGGGAGAGAGATGATAGCCGTGCTAGACAAGTCTCTGAAATTAGAAGCAAATTTACCGCACTAGTCCCAGATGCAACGAATGCATTGACGAGAAAACCCGATTTATCTCAGTGTCGTGTTTTACTCGGAAAATTGGATTTCCTGGAATCAAATTTAGAGGAATTTGTTTCGATTCGCATAAATTTGAGAATATTTGAATGTCGTAAAAAGATATAGGGGTGTGAGGGTAACGTAAATCTAGTTATTGCGACGAAGCTTGTTGAAATTTTATGAAAAAACAGATTTATTTCTGACAGGATTGCAACTTTTATTGTTGGAGAATATTAAAAGTTTTGGTTTAAACGTTTGATTTGATCTTAGTGGGCAAAACATTTTATGAAAAGATAGTCGAAACTTAGACAACAATTTATTAAAGAATTGTCGAAATGTTACTCGATACGATGACATACCAAAACTTTACAATTTTAATAATAATACACCAGGGGCCCAAAATCGTTTCTAGTTTTTTTAAAAAGACACCACCAGAGGCTCAAATGATTTTTTCAAATTTTTATTTCCCCAGCGGGCGACTGGCTACTTTCATATTTTCTCAATGTGTCATGACCCCCAGAGTCAAATAGGTCTCTCATTTCCGTCTGTTTGTCTGTCTGTCTGTCTGTCTGTCGGCCGTCTGTATCGATTTTTGTTAGTTTCTCCGAAACTGCCGTACTGATTGCAGAGGGTACAACGCTAACCAAATTTTGTCCAATCATCCCCGCCGATAACGTGATGACATGTGGTCAAAATTGTACATAGTAAGTGGGTTTTAAATTGTATAAAATAATATGCTCCCACATGTGGTAGTTTATCTAATCAGTATTAAGTTTTCCCTGAAACATTCTTATTTTTGGAAAAAAAAATCTAAATTGTTTAACAATATGTATATTGCAATTTAATTTTGAATCTTGAATGTTTATCCCCCAAAAAATTCATGACGTTATTCAAAATTTTGTCGAATAAACCTTATCTAAAATGTGTAAAATATGATGAGTCTATGCTTTTTAACGTTTTAAAGTTATCGTAAGCATGGTAAATTTTTAATCAAAATATGTCTGTTTATCCCCCACAAAAATTGATGACGTCATCTCAAAATTTTCCTGAATAAATCCTATCTAAGATGTGCAAAGTATGATGAGCCTATACTTGTAATTTACCATTATGTCAATAGTTTTAAGAACTATTTTACAGGGTGACTCAAAAAAATTAATGAATTAGTCAAATTATTTTTTTTTTTTGTTGTTAACGTCATCATATATTTTGTAAGGGCACATTCATTTTAAAACATGCGCGTAGTACGCTTCTTTACATTTATTTTAACATTACATATCTTTATATTAACTCATAGAGTTCTTATAAAAAAATCGCAAAGACAAATTTTATAATTTTTTGAAAAAGCTGGATGTTATATTGTACTTTAGGGACGAGGGAAGTTCTGTCGAAACAACCTTGGACCAAATTTTTCTGAAAAAAAGCACAAACGGCTCTCAAGATTCTTTCAAATTTGTTGAAAACAAAATACCAATAGCTCCTAAGATGTTGTTTTACTTTTAATTTTATGCATGTAAGTTTTTGGGAAAAATTCAAAATTTAACAAGAAACTTTTAGTACTTAACTTAAAAACTTCAAAACCTACTGCTTTGTAATTTTGCACGCTTTTTAAGTTATCGTAAACATGGTAAACCGCTAATCAAAATTCATCCGTTCATCCCTTTCCGAAACTTGATGACGTCCTCTCAAAATTGTGTTAAGTAAATTTTGCTTGAATGCTGACAAGCTGCTTTATTTGTGTTGAAAATGTTTCCATGTTTTTAACGATACACAAATGGATTATTATATTTATTATAGTTTGCCTTATATTCTATGAAACGAACTTTGTTATAATTTTGATAAGATATTGTTTAGTAATATATATACTTTTATTTTAATTTTCTGTTTTGACTTTAATTTCAATTTTTTGAGTATGATTTTGGCCTCCCATTGCTATACCATGTGTTTCTTTTATTTGATACAACCCCTAATTTTTTTTTTATTTCTAAAGATAAACATATAGTTCTTTGAGCAAATTTGTATCATTTTAAAAGATCACTTATGTGAATAAATGACATGAGTGTCAATTTTTCAAGCTACTAGATTGTCATTAACAAATATGAATATTTCGTCTATTTTATTGAATAACTTTTTAAGTATGATTTTAGAATATTGGTTGTTTATGACTTTTTACAAAAAATCAATCTTTCCACTTATGAAAAAATATACCTAGTGTTCCATAAAAAAAAATTGACGTCATTTCCGGTTCTATTGGAAATAGTTCCTTTAAAATAATACAAATTTCCTCAAAGAACTATAGGTTTATCTTTAAGAATAAGTAAGTTACAGGGGTTATATCAAATAAAAGAGACACCCTGTATTGTTTTCACAAAACACAGTTGATGCGCATTATTTTACAACATTTACTACTATTAATCACATTCCAAATGAATTAAAAAATAAGCCACATTATTTTATATGTTGTAAAATTATTTAACGAAATATGAAATTTATTAGATTATCATTTAATTAAATAAACAGGTTGCACATCAAATCCGAACAAGAAACTTTGGTCATTAGAAACCAGTCAAAGATTAAAACACGAATCTTAAAAATACACTAAAATGCAATTTAAAGAAAACATATTAAAAGTAGAAATATTTCTAGCAACAATTAAAATTTTATGAAATAAAAAAAAATAAGTAAATGTAAATAAATCTGCGTAGAAAAATATCTTAGTGAAAAGAAACCAAAAAAACTGAAGATTTCTCGTAACTTTTCGAAACATCTTGCATTTTTACGCGAAACCCCAAAGGTATCTCGTCTTTCATTTGATAAATTTTCGTACTATCCTCAGTATTGTTTTCTCTCGTTTCTTTTTTCCTCTAATTTCCACTAAAAGTCAAATATCAATCTGGAAAGTCATTTTTGCGAGAAATCAAAAGTATATTTCCTATATTGCGCTGCTCACGGTTCAGATTTTAATTAACAGGAAATATTTCCTTTATTACTGGAGATATCGACGTGTGATAAAAACCGAATTTAATGGTTTGTTGACTAACACGTAAGAGCGACGTCGAAAGTTTTAATGCGATAATCAATCGCCGTGTTGCTGCCCAGACGATTGTTTTTTAAACACAATCCTTTTATAAATGATTGATATTTGTATCGCCTCACTTTAATAATTTTGTGCTCTAATTACAAAAAAACTATAACATGGTCATATTGTATCTGCCTATGTATACATTTTAAAATATTTTAGATAACCTTGGAATCGAAGATAAAATTTTGCACTAACTATACACATGAGTTAACGCATCATTATCAAACTCTAGTTCGCACTTCTTAAGTAATAATGGTTTTACTTCACGTTTATTAAAAAGAAGACAATTAATTTCAGTTTCTGAAAACAGACCACAGTGACAGAAAAGGGAAAAAATCACTTTAAAAACACGCAAACTTTCGATACGTCTATTTTTGCTGAAACCTTAATGTTGTTAAAAAACTTTAAAAGGGTGAAAGTAACGGAAACTAAAGCGCTGAAAAAATGTGGAACGAATTTAGAACTTTGTCGATGATGGAAAAATCAACAGTGTCCTCGATAATTATAATTACAGCAAACTTTTCACACACAAACTTTGCTACCAAAATATTAATGTCTCACCTTTAGACTACGACTTTCACTTGCTGCAAACTCGAGATCTGCTAGGGTAATTAATTGTTTGAAATTTCTCAACCTCAACGTTTAATTTGAAACAACACAAGTGAAAGCATACCGCAAGCTTAACTTACATCAAAGCGAGGATTTTCGCAGCTATTGCTTTTTATGAGTTTGAATGTAACACAATTGCTGCCGTGTATAAACATAAAATATGAGCAAATAAAAAATATACACAGTCTGAACAAAAAACTCATGTAATATACTGCAACGTAATCACTGGTTGGATTCCGCACTGCTTCTCCTCCCTGTTTAATGGATTTTTTACATGTCGCTAATTTCGTCTGATAACAGACCCTTTTTGTCCACCTTCGATTCCCGACGTTATTACCGGTTCAAAATGTAGCTTAGATAAGCAAGGCCTGACCCCCAAATCGTTAAAGGAAATATCTTATTACGCACTTCAACTCCTCGCATCGAATGTAATGAATGGTAATGAGCTCTCTCCGGAATGGGATCATTAAAGCTAAATAATCCTACTAGGAATATTTGGACGAGTTCTGAATTTAAAAATAAATGGCGAATAATGCAGAAGTTTTGCCGGTAATTCCACTAACAAACGATTTGTATGCTTTAAAGGGGTTCAGAATTAATTAAGTTGTAGATGAATTAACAAATTGCTAGCATATACTTCACGACGTAATCTCTGAGATATATTGTAAAATTTGATGGTCTAACCTCTACCCTAAAGTAGCAGGAGTGGTTTATGGAGACACGTTTCAAAAGAAAAACTGCATTATCTTTGAAATGAAGAAGAAAGATAAATATAATTAAAAAAAATATATATTGAAGTCTGTCTGAATCCTGAATTTGCCTTTTGTAAATTTAATTTCCCCTAAGACAAATCTTGCAACTGAATTATGGATACAAAGTCTCAGTTCGGGTCCACCTGTATATAAATGCTAGAACGCCTACATTGAATTAAAGTAGTTATCGTCTTTGTTACAAGGAAACCCTAGAAAATTAATTATGTGATCTGATAACTTATTTTCCCATTGACCTAGTCTCTAACAACTGTAATCTCGTTACGAGGGTCCGTGGAGTGGTCTTCAAGTATACGTTTTATCTTCATAAAGCGAGCAAAGCCGTTATAAATAAGTGTAAAATAAAAACCTCCGAGAGTAGTTATTTCGGCCGTCTTATTGAAGAAATATGTTGTTTTTTGATATTTAAGAAGTGGTTTAATAAAATTTTTAAAGAAATCGTGTGTTTGCTGTTATTATAGATTTTGTAAGTATGTAACATTAAACAGTGATAAAGCAAATGTACGGAAAATTTAATAATCGATAGGTAGATAGTAAGTTTATGGGTTGAAAGCTTTATAACTTTGTATGCAAAATTTATGGGTTATTTATTAGAAATACCGTCATGGATAATGGATATATGATATTACATATGTGTAGCGGACGTGTGATAACGTCACCACTCAGTTTTGGTTAATGAAGACGAATTACTAGATTTTCGTTGTTATTAAAATAATAAAAAATAATTTATAACAGAATAGATTTAATTTTTGTATTTGTCTAATTAACATAAAGATGTTTTTTATTATTAGAATATCCTCTGTATTTTGACCGACTTAAATTTTTTATCAAAACCAGAAAAATATATCAGTTAAAACGGTCTTTTGGATAGGAGTTTTCAAAATTTTTATGAAAAAAGTATTTATAAATATGTATTATATTTTTAGTATATTTATGATGTTTTATGTTTTCATTTCTAAGTCTAACAAACTCCTATTTTTTTTTGTGTAAATAACATTGACCTAACCGCAAAGTTTCATTAAAAAAAAGTTAGTACAGTATAACCTCGATACTCCGAATTAATTGGGGAAAGGTGTGTTCGGATTAGCCAATTTCCCAAAAAGCTGAAAATAAATTTCAAGAAATAAACCTTATTTTTTTAAGCAGAAATAAAGTATTCTTTACCAACAATGGATTAACACCTCGGGATCTATATCCCTGAATTTAGTCAGAATTTTTAGATGACTTTCAAAAATGAAATTTCCCATTCCCTTTTGCAAATTTCGACCCATTCTCGACGATTTTCGAAATTTAACTAAACACTTCTATAAAGATTTTGGGCTGCAGAAGTAACTTCTGGCTTGATTTCTTTGATAACTTAAACTGTTTTTCCAAAATCGTCCATTGAAATATCACAATTTTTAAAAATTTCAAAGAATTCGAACTTCATACCGAATTTTCCGAAAATATTGCTCCGTTACCATAAACATGCTATATTTTTGGAAACAGTACGTTGGGATATCTCTGAATTTTTTCAGAATTTTTAGACAACTTGTTCAAAAATGAAATTTTACGCTATGGTACTACTTGCCAAGTAACCTACCCTCTAAGAAACTAAAAGGCGGGTGGGCCGGGGTAGTATTTGTCAAAATAAGACTCATTTTGACAAATGACCTACTCTTCTAAGGAAAGGTACTAGCCCCGCCCACCCACCCTTTATTTTATTAGAAAAGTAGGTCATCTGCCAAAATCAATCTTATCTTGGCAAGTACGAGACTAATTTTTACAAATAACAGATCCTCTAAGAAAATAAGGGTGGATGGGCGGGGTTAGTACCTACTTGTCAAGATAAGACTGATTTTGGCAGATGACCTACTGTTCTAAGAAAATAAAGGGTGTGTGCGCAGGGCTAGTACTTGTCGAGATGAGACTGATTTTGACAAATGACTAAGAAAATAAGGGAGGGTGGGCGGTGGGTTAGTACTTGCTAAAAATAAAAAAAAATGAGAAATTGAAAAATCGCATAAATGAGAAATCGGAAAATTATACAATTGTATAATCGGAAAATCAAAAACTGAAATATCGAAAAATTGAAAAAAAAACATCTTATTAAATCTAATTCGAAATTTCAGTTTTCATTTTTTTTCAGTTTTTAGATTTTTCAACTTTTGAATGCTTCATTTGATAAGTTGTTTGCCAATTTTGAAGTTTTTAATTCCAATCTTTTGATTTTTCAAGCTTTAACTTTGTTACAATTTTGGAATGTTTTGATTTTTAATTTTTCAAGTTCTCAAGTTAAAATTTTTCCTTTTCACGAGTTGTCATTTTTCGATTTTTTTACTAAAAGAACAAATTTATTTGAACCGAAATTTTGAAAAACTGAAGAATCTAAAAATTGAAAATCAGAAACAAAATTTTCAGATGTTTTAAAGTTACAGTAAACATGGCAGACTGTTGATCAAAATTACTTTTTATTCCCTTCCAAAAACCCGGTAACAAAAAATCAAAAATCAAAAATTAAAAAAAAAACATCTATTTTCTGGATATTTTTAAAAATCAAATAATTGAAAAATAGGAAATTGCCAAAATTGTAAAATTAACAAATCGAAAGTTTCTTTCAGTTGCCCAGAGATATCAAAAATCGAAAGACAGATCAAGAAACTGAAAATTTAAAAAGCGAGAAATTGAAAAATTCGAAAGTTGAAAAATCGAAAAAGTGAAAAATCTAGTAAGACTGATTTTGGCAAATGATCTAAGAAAACAAAGGGCGGGTGGGTGGAAATAGCACTTGCCAAGTAACCTACCCTCTAAGAAACTAAAAGGCGGGTGGGCCGGGGTAGTATTTGTCAAAATAAGATTCATTTTGACCAATGACCTACTCTTCTAAGAAAATAAAGAATACGCGATCTGCCAAAATCAGTCTTATTTTGGCAAGTGTTAGACTGATTTTTGCAAATGACATATCCTCTAAGAAAATAAGGGTGGGTGGGCGGGGCTAGTACTTGTTAAAATAAGACTGATTTTGGCAGATGATCCACTCTTTTAAGAAAATAAAGGGTGGGTGGGGGGGGCTAGTACTTGTTAAAATAAGACTGATTTTGGCAGATGACCCACTCTTTTAAGAAAATAAAGGGTGGGTGGGGGGGGGGGCTAGTACCTTTTCTTAAAAGAGGAGATCATTTGCCAACATGAGTCTTATTTTGGCAAATATTAGCCTGGCCTACCCGCCTTTTATTTTCTTAGAGGGCAGGTTATTTGGTAAATATTAGCAAATTTCGACCCATTTTCGACGACTTTAAAAATTTAACTAAATACTTTTTCTTGTAGATTTTGGGGTGCAAAAGTTACTTCCGGCCTCATTTCTTCGACAACTTGAACCTTTTTTCCAGAATTAGTTCATTAATTCAGTACATTGAAATATCACAATTTTTAAAAATTTCAAAAAATTCAATAAAACACGTACAGAAAGAAAATTTTGCGTCATTTTTGCAAGTAAGTGCATGTTTTCAAGTTCAGTTCGGATTGCAGAGTTTTTCTTCGGATTAAAGAGATATCGATTTCAACTAGCCTCTGTTTGGATTACTGGATGTGCGGATAATCGTGGGTTCGGATTATAAAGGTTATACTGTATGTCATAAAAAATATTTGGAATTTCTGTCTATTACACTTGATTAAACAATCAAATTAAATAAAATGTTATTAAATTTGAATAGGATTTACCATGCAAAATTTTGAGGTGGCGCCAGTAAATTGTAGATGGAGATAATTAAACAAATTTTCTACAAGATATGCATGCCTTCAATTAGCTTTTCTGCCTAATAAAAATCAACACAAATGACAGACAGACAGAAACGGGAGACTTATTATTTCATATTCTAGGAGTCATGAAACGTAGAAAAGCATGACCTAGTACAATGCTTCCTCAGTTTACACTCGGGAGGTAAAAACGAAGTTGACTTCTTGAACTTGAAATTTAGAAGGTTTATAGTTTTTTTCTTATTTTTAATTTAAATCATAAGGGTTAAAATTTGAAAAAAATCCCTAACCCTGATCCTTATTTTTTTGAGTGTGAAAAAATTTGGAGCGACACCAGGTGTCTTCTTTTAGAGAATATGAGAGAATTTTGAGGGCATCTTGTGTTTTACTATTGAAAGAATTAAAGAAACCTTGGGACCTCTTTCGAAAAAACTATATTTTATTGTTAAATTTTCCTATTTTCTAAGTAGACATTTGTAACAATAGTTCACTCACATGTATCTCAAGCTCTGAAGTCCGTGAAACGCTCTCACGTGCAAGTTCTTCAAGCGAAAGTTCCCCTTCAGGCTCCTGAAACATTCCATTACGAGATGAATTATTCAGCGCAGAACAGATTCTGTTACAATTAACACCACAAAAGGAACAACGTGCAAACTTTTCTAATTGTTTTGCTAAATCGTCTAATTCGATAACCAAAATGTAAGCCCCCGCATTATCCAACCAACTCTGGGGGCGTCACCTCTTCATTTGCGTCGTCACAAAGAAGCCACTACGGTTAAAAACGGCACACATAAATCCGCGTTTACTCACAATTTGGCAATTTCCGAACCGCCGAAAGCCGCCTCCTCCACGAGTTGTAAATCGTTGTAGTTGAGTAATCTGGAAATAGATTAGGGGGTAAAAATTTCATGTACGTGGAAATTTATGGGGTTATTATTTTTGAGTTCGCGTATTAATAAAACGGAATTATTGCAGGGTTTATTTGTTCGAGTTTGTTATGAAAAATTTGCCGATGCGCCGGCTTTGTTGCGAGGTATCGGAAAATTTTGCGTAAAATCGACGAACAAAAAATTTGAATTTGCAATATGTGGAAGTTGATAGATGTTGCTTCCAGGCAGTTTTTATGGAGTGGGGTGGAATACAATTAAACATAATTATACCGTACGATAAAAAAACGCAAGGGGGCGGTGTGACTGTTGTTTACAAAAATTAATTTTCTGCGTTTTAATTGAAAAAGGAATGAACAACAATTTAGTAATAAATCAATTTTGGTTTCAGCTTCGTTATAAAAAATTAAATGTCTCTTATAAATTTGGTGGATGCGCCGGGTAAAAATAAAACTTTTGCAATTATATAAAGTTCTAAACACGTCCAAACCCCGACTTTTATTCTTACTTAGTTAAATTATTAACGTCTTTTTATAATTTAAACACCATAAACGTCTACTATGTGATTTATGTTTGCTTACTCCCTCTTCTTTTCTTCACATGCCATCATAATCCCTCTTTATCTCCCACACGCACAGATTTTTCACCCTTTTTTGTTATCCCCTAAAAATCACCCTTGCGTGACAACTTACAATTGCTCGGCTTTCACCCTGCTGACTTGCCGGCTGGAGATCCTCTGAATGCGGTTGTGCTCCAGATCTCTGTAATAACACAAACAACTAATGATAAAACGCTAACAAAGACGTTAACGACCAACTATCTTACACAACTAGTGTCGCATGTTTATCGCTGCGAGTTCAGATCATCAATTTTTAACGCGATTTTTATGTCAGCGGGAAGATAAACGTCGCCCCGAGGAAATAAGAAAAGTCAAAGCCATATATTAATAAATTATAATATTTTTCGAGCGGATGCTAGATTTATATTGAGCCCCTAGCAGAGTGTCCACCTTTGTTTGCTTAATTGATTTTTTGGACTTCATTATGCGGACACGTGCCGCATGACCGAAATTGGTAAAGTCTATTTAAATTGATAGATTTTGCATATATTTGCATTAGAAATTGATTCGGTGCATGACGAGGGGAGGCGAAATTGGAAAAATTGAGCCAGGAGTGTCAGATTTCAGGTGAAGTGGCTTTTTGAGTTGAGAGCAGATTTAAAACAGTTATCCATTACGTGTTATACAAACTAGTTATATATCCATATTACTTGACGCAATCAATACTTTTAGAGTGGTACCTCAAAATCGAGAAACACAAAATGGTACTTATTTCGTTATTCAAGAACCACTGCTCTTGAGTGAACGATCTTGTTGACGGTAAGTCACCCTTTTCAGAAGTCCTAGTACCGTTTTTCTCAGAACTTCTATAGGTCTGTGCGTAAGAGTTTATACACACCCTCACCAAACGTACCCCTCCGTACGTCGGTATCAACATGCACTTCAAAGAACACCCATAGCAGACCACACGCCCACACCCTCTATAGTTGTACCTCCTATTGAACATGGAAAAGGTCGGCAACTCATACCCTCGACAACTTCGTCATTTCCTTTGGTGGGTACCACAAATTGCTTCCAAACTCAAAGAACCAAACGATTGAAGCAACTGACACTCAGGCACCTTCAGCAAGCGAGTAAAATCTACACTTTTCTCGTCGCCTCGTCGCAACAGATCGTCGCATTTCTCAACACCGAGGACCTCAGAACTTCTAGCCTAGCTGGGAGTTCATCCGTAGAACCTCCTGGATGCTTAGAGGTCCGTTGATTAAGCACAGTTGCTCTTGGTCGGTTACATTAAAAACGATGAGAAGTTTTAGGTTGACTTGCACGTTTTTGAGGAACAGGTCGTCGGTTAAGGGGACTCGCTAGACGAGGTATAACATTTTTTTGCTTTTTTGTATGAAAAAATGATATTAATATAGATGTGTCATACATCAAACTGCAGCTTTTTTCATATTCTAGGGCGCAGAGACCAGTTCAATCAACTAAAAAAATATGGCTGAGAAATATCGTAAAAAAGCACCATTTTATGTTTTCTTTTCAAGTTTTTTGAGTCATAACCATCATAAAATCGCTTGAAAATTCGCACATGGATAAAACATCACTTTTTACAGGGCGCAGAATCATTAAATGTTTGTTAGTGGTACAATTTGTTTAAATAATAATGTGTTTATTAAAATCAAAATATACCACAAATTAATGCAAAATACGTCGAATAATTTTAACCGGAATATCAGAGGAAAATTAATGATCTATTGGTTAGCAGAGTTTTTAACCAAAACTAACAGTTATTGAAAAAAATGGGTATCAATTCGACAGAATTTGAGCAGCTAGTTCCGTACTTTGCCGATAGGAGCGCCACTAAAATTTACGGAAGCGACTTTCAGGTATAGTTTCCTCAAACCTATAAGGCGTTTATGGCTTTGACGTTTAAAGTACTTTACAGCCGACCGTTCATAAAGCTTAGTAAATGTAAACCATGCCACGTGCCAGGGACGGCCGAGACGCGAAGGACCGGACTAAGAGTAATTTTGTTTTCAACGTTTCTTCCGTACCTTAATTATTTAATCTTTATTCTGCACATTTGAAAATATTATTAAGATACTTAAAGCAAAAAACATAAAATCTTTAATAAGTACGATCGCAATTATAGAAAACTGGTCCACTATGTTTTTTGATAAATCAAATAATTTTGACGATGTCACCGTCCTTTGTTTCAAATCCAGAGGGTAAATTCATATTGCTGTTATATCAAAAATAATACATGACTAGACAGCGAAAAGTATCCAGCAAAATTTTGAGAAATATGATCATGTAATATGCATGAAATTTATGCAAATATGCTGTAACTTTATTAATATATGGAGAGATATGCAGTTGCATATCCTCCAAAAATTGAAAAGAAGTGTAATAACACAACTAAATTTATTTACAAATTATAAAAACAGGTTTATCAAGCTTAATTTTTTTAATAACAAATACATAGATAAATAAAATTTTTTAAAATTATTATTGTCTTACACTAAATAGTGACAAATAAATAAAAATTAATAGTAATAGGCCATTTAATTAGTATTTTTGTAGCAATTTATTTTTAAATACTTTTCGAAATATTGTAGCAAAAAATTTTGCCGATGATCCGAAAACATATATTTGTAAATAGAAATGCGGTTTGTAGCAGAAGCTACAAAACACAGTGCCTTCTTGAAGAATAAATTCAGGAAAAGTCCAGTACAGGGCACGGTTGATAAAACCGTTAATTGTTAATTTAGAAGAGTGGAGTGATGATGACAGTGACTATTTCGATCAATAAATAAGCAGTAGTAGTAGTTACTAAGGGGGAGATTCTCGAAACTCGATAAGGCCTGCAAGGATCCGCAAATTCAAAACCATAGCAACATGTATTGTTGTTGCATTGTATTTGCAGTTTCGATAGCGATTTGCAACTTATCGGAGTTTCCAGAATCTCCCCTTAAGTAAATAGTTGTGTATGTCAAAATTCTAACTAATTTGTTGTAATAAAAAATGATTGAGTACAAAGTTACTTTGTTTTTACTTAAAATAAAAAAATCGTAAGGCGCAGTTGTCGGTAAATGCAAAACTCAGTCCTGCCCTGTTCTTTTACCAGAAAAGGTCTTTTCAGGTAGGTATCGGTGAGTGGGTTTAGGACATCCGGTTGTGACGGCCTATTGAATTATAATGGGAGTCAAATTGGTGTGAAGTCATAAACGCCTTATATGTTTGAGGGAACTCTAAAACCCTTATCGTATGCTTTACCATAAGTTGATTGTTAGAGTTCTCGGCTGATTTTTCTAATTTATGTCAAGGAACTCAGCTTTATAACAAGCCGCCAGGACCGGCCGTAGTAATCTATTGTTAAGAAAATTAACTTTTACGCAATGAGGTACTATCATAAAACCGAATTAAAACTGGGGAACTATAATATTTTTACTCCACTCAGGATCCTCAAATCAATACACATTATTACTAAAAATTCATTGTAATATTATTGTTTATATATATTTTGCTTTCTTAATTAATAAAACTAATAAACATATTTATAATAATAATAAAAAAATATATAAAATACAGCTTTTGTTTAACACGTATAAGTAGCTAAGTGTATCTACTACTTATCCCAGAAAGGAGGTGTTTTAAAAAAGCCCTACGCCCAGTAACTTCTCCCTTCATTGTTTACTCGAAAAAAGTGCTCGTATATGTTTTCATTTGCCGAGAGATCATTTTCAAAATATATTTATAATAAAAATATGCAAGTCTTGGTGATGAAAAATGTACTCCTAATAAATTATTAAAGTACATAAAAAAATAGAAACAAATTTTACTTATTTTAAAAAAATCTCTCGCAAAGGCAGGTTCCTCTTTCTTCTTGAATCAATTATTTCGGGCAATAATGCGCCAAAGCAAAATCTGCCAAGTTTATCTGCCATCTTTTTACATATATTTCTTCGTCTTTATGAATTGTTTCTATATTTATTCCATTGGGTGTCCATACAACAAAATAAACTTGTGAAATACCCGTAACAAGCATTTGTCCCTGGACTTGAAATGTACAAAATTTGATTATTTTTTTTCTAACCGCTTCTTCGGGAGACAAATCTTGCGATTTTGAAGGGCATTTAATTTCGACTAATGCACTCCTATCCTCTAGAACCCTGTCTGGACTAGCAGCCAAGTAAGGAAATTGTTTGGAAATAAACAAGCCACACCGTTCAGTTTTTATATTTTTATTTATTTCGAAACACTTGACAGCTTTTTCCTCACTTTGCTGTCCATAGTATTTTTAACTGTTACCTCTAAATGTACTGTACAACAGAGACTCCACAGTTTTAGCTATTGCTGTAGTCGGTCTAAGTTTGTAAATACGTCCAAAATTTGAAGCCGTAACCCTAATTTCTCTTTCTTTTGCCCAAATGTGCCTGTTGCCTAGTGTCTATTTAAATTTGGTCTAAATTCAAAGATAATTTTCTCAAAAAAACCTCTTTGGCTGTCACAAATGTTTCTACATCCATGACAGGATTTTCTAAAAAATATTTAAACTATAATCGCAGTCGGGACCAGCATACGTACATTTTTTTACGACATATTTTTTTACGAATACTTTGTCTAAGACGAGCTTAGTTTATAGACGAAGAATATTTTTTTGTTATTAAACCAGGACCGTTTTAATCACAATATATTTACTTATCCCCTCTAAAAAATTGATGATGTCAGCTCAAAATTTTGCTGAATAAATCCTATCTAAATTGTATAAAATATGATGAGTCTCTTCTTGTGATTTATCATTCCATTCATGTTTTTTGGATTTGCGTATACAGGATGACCCCAAAAATTAATGAATGCGTAAATTTATTTTATTGATTTAATCAGGAACTACAGAACCCAATGCTTTGAAATCTTGCAAATGTTTTAAGGTTATAAAGACAATAATAAATTTTTAGTTCAAATATATTTGCTTATCCCTTCCAAAAAATTGATGACGTCAGCTCAAAAGTTTGCCGTATAATCCTATTTAAAATTTACAAAATATGATGAGTTTCTTCTTGTAATTTATCATTCCATTAATATTTTTTGGATTCGGATATACAGGGTGACTCAAAAAATTTAATGAATGCGCAAATTTATTTTATTGATTTAATCAAGAACTACAAAACCGAATGCTTTGAAATCTAATGTGAAAAAAAA